TCCCATATAAAGGTCAAACAAAATATTAAAACTTAGTTCATATGTCAAAAAGGATATTTACAGAAATAGCAGACAATTTATGGTGGAAAATGTCTGATTTTGCAGAAAATTTTAAAAGAATGTTCAAATAATTTCAACACATGGATTCACATATAATCATTATAATATCATGATAATAATACATAACAAACAAATTTATTAACAAAATTCCCTCAAAATACCCATATACATTTATAGTTTATTAAGATTTTTCTGTAGAATTTTCTATTTTTTCTTTTTTCAACAATTTTCTTGGATTTTCTTGTTTCAATCAATTTTATTTTCATGTATCAACTAAACGCACGAATTTTTCATTCAATATAAAGGGTTAAGGGTTCTCTTTGACTTAAAAATTAATTAGCAAAAATATTTCCCCAATTTATGAACTATCTTCCCCTCCCTTACTTGATTTTGTCATTGTCTTTTTGAGTGGGGTTGCAAGGATGTTTTGATCTCCTCTTCTTCTTTTTCTTGGTCTGGTTTAAGTCTCTCTATTGCCTTTCCAAGTCAACTTTGAGTATTCCCAAAAAGGTCTTCAAATGTTGAAGTTCTTTTGCTTAATTTGGTGGTGGGGTTATTTGGTATTTTTGGAGTTTTTTCTACTTTGTTGGCTTGGAGAGTGACATGGTTGAGTGGTGGATTTTATTTTTTAGCATGTGTTGGATGTGGTCAGGTATTTAAAAGAGCTTGGTTTGGCTAGATTTAGAAAGTTTAGCTAATTCTTTAAGTTTGTTCCATTTTACACGTGAAATTGGCTTTATCTTTGGGGAATGTTTTATCAATTTTGTTCTTGGCTTTTATGGGGCAGGGAGTTCATGACCATTTAGAGGGATTAAATTGGAGTAACTTTGCTGTTGGAGCCTTCCCCAAATTCAGATTTTATCATGGTGAAAGTGGTCCTCAATAATCATGCTCAGAGTAGATATTTTAAACCTTTATGACGTCATATAGTTGGCCTAAGTGTACTCTCTTAATTTTTCTTTAGTTCTTCGTTAATCATTTCTTATTTTTATCCTCAGATAACGCTATTTGGTGGCTGAGTTTAGTTGGCATTTGGTTAGGCTCCTTGATTAGAGATTGAACTATTGACTCTATGTCATTTCCAAGGGAGTTTTAGTAAACCAAGCCTTCTTTCTCATTGGCTTACTTCATTTTAGTTGATTCCTTGTCCAATTATTGACAAATTTGATCTCCTCTTCATGATAAAACTGTGCGAATTGAGTTGAGTAAGGTAAAATTACAAAATTGGAAGTTTTGGTCCATTTGCCTAACTCTTTCACAACACCCAAGTGATGAATTTGTAAAAATTGGTTTAAATTTTTTATTTGAGGTTTGGATTTGGTTCTTGAACCACTAGAACTTCATTTGGTCCAATAATTTTTCATAATAATTTTAAAAATTTTTATAATTATTTTCTTGTCCAACTTGAGTCATTATTCTAAGCCTAATAAATTTTTATTTTTATTTTTATTTTTTTCAATTGATTAGAAATTTTATAATTCATAATTAGGATGGTCTAAATTTTATAATACATGCCATCTAACTTTAGATACTTTTTGTACTTTCTAACGGGTTCTCTAGATTTTGTTTGTCTTTAGCCACACGTGATATTGAGCCACTTGAGTATCTCATTTCCCAACTAACTTTTTATTGTGCTAGGCTTAGTCTTTTTTATCTTGTTATCTTAACAGGCTTTACCCTCTCAGGTATACAAGCCTCAATGTAACCTGAGATTTTATCATCCCTGCCTAATTGTGTTTGTTATCCAACATGTTCTCAATTGAATCGAGGACATGAACTATATACAATTATAAACTTTGAACCAAGTCATAATTCTTGACGTGCATATGTATAATTTTTATTTTTATTTATAATTTTTTACACATATTGGAAAAAAATGCCATCGACCATTGAATAATTTTCCATGGCCAATTTGATGCTTTCCTCCTAATTTTGAATCTGCAAAACACATTATTTATATGTACTACGTATGGTAGGAAGTTGGATAATTTGATTTTAATGAATTTCAATGATGAAAAGGTCTTTATCATATTAATGTAATTTTAATGTATACACATTATTTTGATATTGCTCCAACAAAAAAGGTATTGGTATAATTTTTTAATTGCATGATGATTTCAAATTTACACCATTGCATGTCTTTAAACTCAAAAGGTTTAAGATGTTAAATAAATGCAACAAAACTTTAAATTATTGCGCCAACCTTTTAAATTTCAATAATATAATAAAACAAATATAAATGAAAATATTATAAATTATTAATTGATTTTAAAAAAATTAATTTCAGAAAGGAATAAGCTTACGTTTTTAAAAATTATATTGAAATTTTAAATTAAGTTTATGGATTGCTATCAAATATATCTTTAAAAAAGGACAACGGTAATATTTAGTATAATTTATTCTTCTATATTTTGTATGTGATATATTGATTAAAATGTTAGAAATAAATTTAATTAAAATAAATTCAAATAAACAAATTTGGGTGAAAACATAGGAAAGTGAGTATTGAAGAATTTTGTTAATTTTGTGGCAGATTTCAATTATCTAAGATAAATAAATAAATGAATGTGTGTGTGACTTTTAATCATGATTCTAATTTATAGTTCTTACATTTTTGAAATAAAAAGAACTACTCTTTCTAGACATATATCCCATATTGCATATGTAGTAAGAAAAAGAAAAGCAATTATACGATTATTTTTTGAATGATCATTATTTAGTTAATTTTTTATTTTAATCATTAGAAGAATCCAATCATAATATATATATATATATATATATATATATATATTATATATAATTTGTATTAATTAATATTTAGTTATTTACTCAAATATATGCAAATGACAAAATCACTATAAATTTTAGCTGTTATTAAAGTATTAATTTTATTAGTTTCATATTTAATAAAACAAAGAAAAATAAAAATGAAAAAGGAAGTATGATATTTAATAAAGAGTATATTATCAATATATAAATAAGAATTTGATAAAATTTTAAAATATAGAAAAACTAAAGTCTCTTAAATAATAAGTTTGATTATTATATTTCTATTATGAAGCACTCTTTTCTGAAGTCTCTTAAATAAATTTAATGACAAAATGTATATTATAGATACCAAAATAATATCAGTACAAATTAATGAAAATTTAACATTGAGAAAAAGGACAGAAAATTGGTAAAGAAGAAAAAACTTAAATTTTTTTTAAAATGAGAATATAAAAAAAGCTTAAAAGAAGAAATCAACAACAATAAAATACATACCTGTAAAGAAGAAGACAGAGAAACTAATATTAAAAGATAATTTAAAACACTCAAACAAAAGAAGAAAAAATACCAAAAAAAGCTTACTTTATAGAAAGATGATAGAGAAAACAAAAAAAAAAGGTAAAAAAGTTAAAATTTTAAGAAAATATAGGTAAATTGAAAAATATTAAATATACTTAAAAGAGTAAATAAATACGTGTACAACATTAGGTAATTTAGTGGGAAATGAAACTCAAATATGAAGAAGAAGAAATAGATAGAAACTTACGTATAAATAAAGCTATAAAAAAAATTCAAAGTTAAAATATTAAACTTTAAAGAAAAAGACAATTTATAAACAAGGAGAATAAAAACTTTGAATATAATATAAATACATTAATTTTTATTCTGTTACGCAATCTTAAATTATCATATTAATAAGAATAATTAAATTTAAAATAATTAATATAAAAATATTTATAATAAATTTTAATTAGTTAATGATATAATTTTTTATACTAATATTGTAATCTCAAAAGCTTTCATATGCCTTAGTTTTGATAATGACACCAATAAAATTATTAACAATGAGTAAACATGATTAAAGACATCATTCCGAGAATATTTTAGTAAAGAAAGTTAGAAGAAAATAAAAAAACCATAATTGTGTAATTACAGTGATATATTAGTAAAATATTTAACAAGTTGGAGTATTTAATTTAAATTTCCATTCTCGTAAACGTTAAGTTTTTTTTCCTTCCAAGAAGTAAGTAAATTCTAAAATACTCTTTATAATTAAGAGTTTTATATTTTTTTACACATAAAACAATTATCAGTGTTAATTTTATATAAATAAATAGTAAAATTAAAAATTTAATTAAAAAATATATTAATATTATTTATTTTTTAAAATATTAAAAAAGTTATACTTATTAATTTTAAAAAATTATAAAATATCCTCTCAAGCAGCATCTAAAAACTATCTGGTAAGTCTAAAGATTAATTTTATTTAAGATGTAAGGCTTTCATTTGAAAGTTTGAAAGGTAAAATTTGAAAAAGAGAAATTAATATAAAATTCTTTAAAACTTAAAAATAAATATAAAATTAAGAGTGTTTTAATTAAAAACATGTAAATATAATTAAACATTACATATAATTTTTCCCTTTCCTTTCCATTCTGTCGAAACCAACTTGGAAACAAATTCTAACTTAAATAAACTTTTGCTTCTCATAATATAAATAGATTATTTGAACCCTTTCAAATGGTGGCCGATGATAAATATATTAAAATGCAAGTGGTAGCAGAAAATCAACGAGGCATCAATAGACCCAAAATCTGTTCATAAAAGATAACCTGTGTTTTGGTTTTAAATATCATCTTGAATAATAATATCTGAATATTACATCAGATAATCAATTAAGCTCGATCAAATAAGATACACTTATTGCAAAAATCTTAAACTCTTTTTACATAATTAACAAAAATGGAATCATTCTAAATGAGGCATTAATATGTGATGATGAGATGTGGAAAAGCAAGTTGGGGAAGAAAAATCAACGAAATCCAAAAGCAGCACAGAAAAAGAGTCAAGTCAACCTTGAAGCGTCCACCAGTCACACGCCAGAAAGCCGCCATATATTAATAATGGAAGTATTCCATTAATTGCAATTCCAACCACCGATATTTCATTTCAATCTCGAAGCTCCAAAGTTGACCAAACCAAAACAACTTTGGAACCATGGCTCTCTGCACCAACACCAACGCCGCCACCACCACCATCTTCTTCTTCTTCTTTCTCTTCAACTTTCAATCCTCTCTTTCCCAGCTAACATCCTTCAACATCTCACACTCCCCATGGCTCCCAACACAGAACTTGACCCTTCTCTCCCCAAACAAAAACTTCACTGCAGGCTTCTTTTCCCAACCCAACTCTCCGAACCTCTTCACCTTCTCAGTTTGGTTCACCAAAGTCCCTAAAAGTGCAAACCCTCTTATATGGACCGCCACACCCCAAGTCAACACTTCTGGCTCCCTTGTAATCACTTCAAAAGGTGAACTTCTCCTCAATGGTTCATCCTTTCCCAATGCTTCCACTGCCACTCAGCTTGTTCTTCAAAATGATGGAAACCTGGTGTTTGGAAACTGGTCCAGCTTCAAGAACCCAACCGACACAGTTTTGCCCAACCAGAACTTCAGTACTATGATTGAGTTGAAATCCAACAATGGGAAATTCAAGTTCATCAATGCTCAGTTTCTGGTCCTCGGTTCCACCTCAGCTCAGTACTACAATACCCCAAGCCGCTTGCTAAGCATGGATGATCAAGGAAAAATGAGCATGGATGGAAGCTCTTTTCTCACCTCTGATTATGGTGACCCCAGGTTGAGGAAAGTGGTTATTGATGATGATGGGAATCTCAGGATCTATAGCTTCTACCCTGAGCAGAATAACCAGTGGGTTGAGGTTTGGAAAGGGGTGTGGGAGATGTGCATAATCAAAGGTAAATGTGGGCCCAATGCTGTTTGTGTGCCCAGAGAGGATTTGAATACTTCTACTAATTGTGTTTGCCCATCTGGGTTTAACCCAAATCAAGGAGGGCCTGAAAATGGTTGCACAAGGAAAATCCCACTTTCCAAAAACACCCAATTTATCAGGCTGGATTATGTGAATTACACCAGTGATGGTAGCATGATTCAAATCGCTGCTGAAAACTTCACAATATGTGAGTCTAGCTGCAGATCAGACAAAACCTGTCTTGGATTTGGTTTCAAGTATGATGGAACAGGCTATTGTGTGTGGCTAAAGGGGACACAGCTTCAATATGGTCATTGGTCACCAGCCACTGAAACTGCGTTGTTTGTGAAAGTTGACCAATCTGAATCACAAGCTTCTAACTTCATTGGCATGACGGAGGTTATGCAAACCACATGTCCTGTGAACATAAGCCTGCCACTGCCTCCAAAGGATTCAAACACTACTGCAAGGAACATTGCCATAATCTGCACTCTCTTTGCTGCAGAACTCATTGCTGGGGTGGCATTCTTTTGGTCTTTCCTAAAGAGGTACATCAAGTATAGGGACATGGCCACCACACTAGGCCTTGAGCTTCTTCCTGCTGGTGGCCCCAAAAGGTTCACCTACTCGGAAATCAAAGCAGCAACCAATGACTTCTCCAACCTCATAGGGAGAGGAGGCTTTGGAGACGTCTACAAAGGGGAGTTACCAGATCACCGTGTGGTGGCAGTGAAGTGCCTCAAGAATGTCACAGGCGGTGATGCTGAGTTTTGGGCTGAGGTCACAATAATTGCCAGAATGCACCACCTCAACTTGGTGCGCTTGTGGGGCTTCTGTGCTGAGAAGGGCCGAAGGATACTTGTGTATGAGCACATCCCTGGTGGCTCATTGGACAAGTACTTGTTCAGGGTCAAGCCTCATCATCTCAACAACGGAATCTCTGATCCAAACCATGATGACCCGACAAGCCCAAAAGGGAACATTCACAGCAACAACAACAAAAAGCCTGTTTTGGATTGGAACATGAGGTATAGAATTGCTCTAGGAGTGGCGAGGGCTATTGCATACTTGCATGAGGAGTGTTTGGAGTGGGTTTTGCACTGTGATATCAAGCCAGAGAACATTTTATTGGGTGATGATTTTTGTCCAAAGATATCAGATTTTGGGTTGGCTAAATTGAGAAAAAAGGAGGATATGGTCACCATGTCAAGGAGGAGGGGTACTCCTGGTTACATGGCTCCTGAATGGATCACTGCAGACCCAATTACTTCCAAGGCTGACGTGTATAGCTTCGGCATGGTGTTGTTGGAGCTTGTGAGTGGGATAAGGAACTTTGAGATCCAAGGATCTGTGGTCCGAAGTGAGGAGTGGTATTTCCCTGGCTGGGCTTTTGATAAGATGTTTAAGGAGATGAGAGTTGAAGACATTCTGGATAGTCAAATAAGGGATGTTTATGATAGCAGGGCCCATTTTGAGTTGGTTAATAGGATGGTCAAGACAGCAATGTGGTGCCTTCAGGATAGGCCTGAGTTGAGGCCCACTATGGGGAAAGTGGCTAAGATGATCGAAGGGACTGCGGAGATCACTGAGCCCAAAAAGCCCACTGTTTTCTTCCTCGGGGATGAGTAGAATATACTCATTAATACCGGGTCATATTTACTTGTTCTTTCCCATGCTTGTTTTTGCTTTTTTGGTATCTTTGTACCATTCCTCTTCAAACTAAAGATATTTAAAGCTCTCTTGTTGTTTAACGTTTTTGTTTCAAGGAGATACTGTACCTGCATGCCATCATATTACACTAGTTTTTCTTCTTTTTGCTCGGTATGTTTTATTCAATTGCAGTTTCATTTTATCACCCATCGAATATAAACGGATTATATTGTTACAGGCATGTTTTGGTTTGGATTTATAACAGAGTGAATATTCTTTATAAGGATTTATTTAATTTCCTTTTATGAGTTAACTTTCAAAAATGAATTAAGCTTAAGTTTCTTAACGGGTTATTAAAATTTATTCAGTTTTATTGGCCTACCTATGTGAATAGAGCCAAATTTATTAAAATTTTAAAATAACTTTTTCTAACTCTAAGCAAAAATTATTAAAATTTTAAGATGTAATCACATAGACCATGTTTCCAATCATATCTTACTATTATTCATTGAACGTTAATCAAATTCAATTTTTAAAGATGTTTATATTTAAAATAATAAAAATTAAAATGAATTTATAGAAAGGCAAAAAATAGAAAAATCACTAAGTTGATTCCTATGAATGAAAAGCTTTGAACTTTAAATTATTTTTATTATGCACCATAGAATTAAATTATGTTAGAATAATTATCAACCACTTAATCAATTATTACCATTATGTGATAACCATAAATAATAACAATCTTTTTATTTATATGTTATACTAGTGATCATAAAAATAATAAAATATTATAAATTTTATTAAATTTTCTTTTTAATATCTAAATATTATAAAATTCTACTAAGTTTTTTAGTTGCAAGGATCATGTATAAAAGAATATTTAAAAAATATGTAAGAAAGATAATATATATATATATATATATATATTATTAAATAAAAAATTGTCATGTCTAGAAAAACAAAAACTAGATTTAAATCTAAAATTATTCATTTTAAAAATTCAGTGAATGATACATATAAAAAATAAAATGAGATCTAAGAAAATTTGTATGTTTATTTATTTTTAAGATCAACAATATTTAAATTGTCATTTATATTTTAATGTTTCTCAACTTTAAATTGACACATAGTATATTTCAATAGAATCATTTAAATTTAACAAGGTAAAGAATATTTTGAGTACGATTGAAATATAGGACAATTAATGCATACAAAATTCTTCCAATTTGTATCAAAACTAGCATACAATAATTATAACTATTGATCATAAGGTTGGTAAAAACAAAATTATTGTCACAACATAGGTCATAACGAGACATCAGGCGAACTTTTAAAAAATATCAATTGAAATATTATGATTTTTTTAAAAGAAATAATATGATATTGGAAATTTAATATAAATGTTAGAGTCATTTAAACAATAATTACTTTATTTTAATTGCATAAATTCATTATAATTTTAAAAATATTTATCTAAACCCTTAACAATAATTTTTATCTTTTTATTTCCAAAAAAATTATTAAATGATATTTTAGAAATTAAAAAATTATATATTTTTTTATAAAATTATAATATTTAAAACACAAGATAGTGTGATTATATAAATTATCTTCTGATAAACAATACAAGAAGCAAATAAAAATCTCCCACCGTATTGTTAATCATTGCATTGAGAAATGAGATAAAAATAAAGTGTTTTAATTTAAAACATTTGAGTAGATGTTTAATTAACAAATTCATGTTACAAAGATTTTATAGTATAAATTATACATAAATTACTTATGGCTTATTCAATAATTGGATGCAATATAAATTATACATTACTATTATAAAGTGTTGTATGGTAGAAATAATTTAAGTAGTTAAATACTTAACAATTTAGTTTTTTCAGTTAAAGATATGACTTAAATTTTAAATTATTAAATTAATTAAGTAAAAGGACAATAAATATATTTAGGTTAATTAGTAAAAGCATATATATATATATATATATATATATATATGATAAAATAAAGTTAAAGTATAACTTAATAAAATATAACATAAGATAATATCGGTACACAAAGATTCAGTTCCATTTTTTACTTAAGTGAAACTAATCTTGCTTAAGTGAATTTTAAACATAAATACTAGAATAAAATTTACATTTTTGCTTAAGCAAAATTAAGTTGGAGAATGAGTTCTCCTAGTTGTTCTAGCAACACCAATCATTGGCCTTCAGTGTGTATTTTGGCATAAAAGTAGACCATTGCCATTATATATCTCTTGTCCCTTGTTTGGAGGGCAAGTGTACCTATTGAAAAGTAATAAAGGGTTCTTAAATTAAGTTCTTGAAATATCGTTTCACAAAAATTAATTTTCAATTATTAAGAATTTCCTAACTCAAATGTTTAAGCTTCAAAGATATGAAATTAATTAAAATAAGAATTTATAAAATTAATTATAAAACTAAGGGCAAGGAATACAATGCAGATCTTGGTTAAACTTATCGGAGAAGAACCTAGAGCATATGAATTTTCTCATTCAATCCTTTATGTTATTTTTCTGTTTAATTCTAAATCTGATTTCTTTGTGATTACCAATCATTCATACGAAATTATTAATACCCAATGGTCATGCAATATTAATATTCTTTTTTCTAAATTAACATTCCCAATGTTGGTCCAACTTGGATTCAAGCTCCGTCATCCTCTTATCAGAGTAATGCACATATTGCATCATCTGATCTTGAAAGTTAGACTGAGATCTGAGGGCTTCTTTCCCTTCTGGTCATGCTCCCTGACTTTGCATATGGGGAGGGCGATAAACACTTAAATTTTGGCTTCTAAACCCATTCCCCCAAGAGTTAGGAGGATTACTCCTCCACCCTGAACTGTGATTGCCCATGAAATTTGCCTCCTCTTGCTTAGATTCTGGGCTTGCAGGAGCTATTACATGTTAGTCTTGAGCCTTTATTAAAGATTCTAGTTGCTTTGTAAGGGCTGCCATTTGGTGCATTAGTGGGCTGTTGCTTTCTGCTTGGTAAACTGGGGCAGTCTCTTTCCTCTTGATGTCATAAGAGTCAACAATGTGCCACTGAAAGTTAGAAGATGTCATCTCATCTATCAGCTTGTATGCATCATCTGGATCTTTTCTTATGAGAGACCCTCCTGCTGCGGCATCAATTGTAGCCCTGATGGTGATTGATAGGCCACTGTAAAAGATTTGCACCTGTCTCCATGTCGAAAAATCATAATGAGGGCATCTCCTCAAAAGCTATCCAAATCGCTCCCATGCTTCAAATAAGGATTCTGCTTCATGTTGTTGGAAGCAACATATCTCCGTCATAAGCTTAGTGGACCTTGATGGGGAAAAGTACTTTCCCAAGAATTGTTGAGTGAGATCCTCCCAAGTTCTGATGGAGTTGGCTGGGAGTGAGGAAAACCATGCATTCACCATTTCAGATACTGAGAAGGGGAAAAGGCGGAGTCGAATAGCATTGTTGGAGACTCCATTGTATTTGATGGTATTCGTCAATCGAAGGAACTTTGTCAGATGAAGATTGAGGTCTTCGTTAGGCATGCCTCCAAACTGTATCGAGTTCTGGACCATGGTTATGAGTGCTGGTTTCAACTCAAAATTGTTGGCCTCCACATTAGGTGCCGCAATGCTTCCAGGAGTGCCTCTAGCAGTGGGTGTCATGTAATCTTGAATTGATCTCCTTTCCTCTGTCATTCTTTGCTCTCTCACTTCTTTTCTTTGTTTACGCGCTGTTCTTTCAATCTCCGGATCAAATACACAAGTTGTAGAGCACTTAGAACGAGTGACCATACATTAAAAGAAATTATAAAGAAAAAAAAATAAAATAAAATAAAAACGAAAATTATAAAATATAAAAGAAAAATTTAACAATAAACAAAACAAAATAAAAATAAAACACAAATTGCTTAAATCAATTAAATTTGAGATTTTCTTAATATTGAAAAAGCAATCCCCGGTAACGGCGCCAAAAACTTGTTCGAAGGGCAAGTGTACCCATCGAGAAGTAATAAAGGGTTCTTAAATTAAGCCCCGAAATATCGTCCCACAAGGATTGATTTTCAATTACTAAGAATTTTCTAATTCAATTGTTTAAGCTTCAAAGATACGAGATTAATTAAAACTAAAAATTTATAAAATTAATTATAAAACTAAGAGTAAGGAATACAATGCACGTCTTGGTTAAACTTATCGAAGAGGAACCTAGGGCGTATGGGTGTTCTCATTCAATCTTTTATGTTATTTTTCCATTTAGATCTAAATCTGATTTCCTGGTGATTACTAATCATTATACTAATACTATTAATATTCATTGGTCATGCAATATTAATATTCTTTTCTCTAAATTAATATCCCCAATGGTCATGCAAGTTATCAATTTAGAAAAAGCCTAAGGAGCCTATGAATTTATTAATTTAATAACGATTAGAAAAGAAAGATTGATTTGATCCACCTAATCTTTTGTCTCGTTTTATCCTATAGATCTATTAATTAATCAAGGTACGATCGCTTGATGAAATAATTAATTAGGATTAAGAAAGAAGCGCAATAGGATAAAATCTAATCACATAACGGAAATCAAATTAAGATTCAAACATCAAAATCCCATAAATTCATAAACAATAGTTCTCATAGCCTTAGCTATGGACTTAGTTACTTATGCTAAAGAAAAGAACTAAAACATTCATGAATAAAGCCATAAAGAAAAGAAATAGAAAAACTAGAGTGTGATGAGTTCCCAGTCTTCAAGTACGGTCGCTTGAACCTCTAAGTCTCGCCAAACATGTGCCAAGAATCCCATACAAGAGAGATGAGATGAAAGATGTATCCTAGAGCAAAAGCCAAGATGACAAAAACGGTGTATCCAAGATGCCTTCAATGGTGTATCAGGTCTTCCTTTAATAGGGTTTGAAAACCCTAAAAACTCTTTATTATTGGGCTTTCCGCAGATGAGCACGGCCGTGCATGGGCTTGAAGCACTCCCGTGCTTGTTTAAAGGAGCTGGGCGTATTGACTGTTGTAAAGCTCTAATCTTCTATCAATTTGGGCCCAAAATGCGCCCAAAATATACTTGTGGCCTCTTTATACAAAACTGCACAATTAATAAATAAATTAGTGTAAAACCCAAACAAAATAAAGATCAAATATGAATATATGGGCTATAAAAGAGAGCTTAATTACATACTTATCACCCGGGATTAATAATCCTACTTTGTTGTGAAGATGATGCCATCTATTTAACAAAATTACTATAACTAATAAAATTTCATTCTATAATAGTTAAACACATTCATACCTAAATACTATCACATTGTTATAACATGAATATATATTCAATGAAATATATTCTAAACATTAATATCAGATATACTCATCAATATCAATCTCATCATAAATTATAATTTACGTAATATCATTTTCATATTAAAATTAAATATTCTTATTTACATTTTTATACATATTACTAACGATATACAAAAGTTTAATTATTACAATTATTTTTCATATTAAAATGTTCTTACTACAATTTATATAAATATAGTTACGTTATTTAAATAAAATAACTCTAATTATAAAAAAAATTTAATTTAAATTTTTATGAATTCAATTTAAATTTACATAAATTACATACATTTTACAATTATGCAAATTATATTACGTTTTTAAAATTAAATAATATTTTATCTACATACAATATTTTTTCTATAGTACTACTTTAACAATTTTAATTTATATATACATAAGATTTATACAAATTATGATTATATGTTAATTAAATACGTCATAACATTTTATATTATTACTGAACATATAAATTTATAGTTTTTAAATTTTATTTAAATTAATATAGCTGTAAAAATTATGTATTACAATAAAACTGAATATAAATAATTAATAAAATAATTTATTTAACAAATATAATTATTTATTATTTTTTTACAATTATATAACAAATATAATATATATAAAATTAATAATATTATGTTAATATATTATTTATACAACATACAACAACAATATTTTTATAGTTACAATTACAGTTAAATATAAATAATTAATAAAATAATTTATTCATCCTTTTATTTATTATTTTTTTTACAATTATATAACAAATATAATATATTTAACATTAATAATATTATGCTAATATATTATTTATACAATATACAACAACAATATTTTTACAATTACAGTTAATTATAATTTTACAGTTTAATTTACTACTCTACAACTACAACAATATTCTTTATACAACATATTAATACCTACAAATAATATAATAATATTTAAATTTGTAAACATTTTTTACTAACCTCAATAAACTTTCAGCCCAATTATTTTAGTACTCACCACTCACTTAATCACCTGCAAAAAAATTATAAACATTTAAAATTCAATTTTTATCAATTTTCAAATATTTTAAATAATACAAATCAATTTACATTATAAAATATCAATATAAAAATACATCTATACCTATAAATCACGTGCAAATTTTGAAAATTTTGAGGCTAAAAATGCAATTCACAAATGAAATTCTTGGACTGGAGAACGAGTTTTGTAGGCGACCATGAACACAAAAGATGCAAAACGAAAATGAGAATGAATGAGGAGAAGGGGAAGAAGGTCAGGAATGGTTACTGTAGCTTGTCACGTGTCAACAATTCATTGGTTTCGCCACTGCTTTGGTGAAACACTCCTTCGCCATAATATATGCGAAATAGATAGGATTATGCCACGTGTCCTATAAACTCCCTAGCCGTTGATTATGTGATTTTTTTTATATATATATTTTTTGCTTGGCAACTTTCGCAATTCCATTGGCGAAACTCTAGCCGTTACTGCCACATGTCGTTTTCCAATTATTTTTGCACTAGTGGTGACGAAACATTGTGGTCTTTTCGTCAGTCAAATGGCGAAACTATTCATAATTTGACACGTAGTTTCAACTTTTTGTTTTTTGCTTTTTTTTTTCTTGCGAAATAATATATAAAATATTTATAAAATAATTACTTTCGCCAATCATTTTGGCAAAACCTTTTGCCACGTTGGCACCTACCTCACCTCAGACAGAAAAATAGTTTCAAACTTAATATATTTTGATAATTAGTTTTTAAATTTACAATATTAAAATAAAAAAACCTATAAAGAGCTATTATGCAGAGTAATTTGATCTTATTCAAATAACTAATGTGATAAAAAATGATTACATAAAATTTTTATAATTTTTTAAAGAAATAGCTTTATATTATAGATATGCTCAAACAAATTAATCTTATAATAAAGAAAATATCTATTATTATTTTTTAAATAATTTTTTTTTTAAATATTTCATTTTTCTCATAAATATATCAACAATAAAATTATTTTATATATACAAATATAAAAGTTGAGAAAATAATTTAAACGTATCCATGTGCATGAACATGCTCAAGATTTTGCTTTTAAGATTGAATGTGGGGTCAGAAAATCTTTGCCATCCTATTCACCTAAGAGCTTTTTGAGGTTTGACGTGCTTTTTGCCTGCCACTTTCAAAGGGAAACATCGACACAAAAGTTGCTGCGTTCTGAGTGAGGGGAATTATGTAAGTCACTTACGTATACAACATCCCACTACTTATCTGTCAGATCATTTTGGAATCCTATATCAAAAGCCAAGTAACACTATTGCTACTACATTTTCAACAATAATGCTATTTATATATTTCATAAATATATATTATATATCGTTGAACTGCCATAAATATACCTCGGAAAAAAAAAAAGCATACTTTATAAATATATAAATATTATTAAAGAATTTGCTAAAAGTGCATAGTGGATACATATGCTAGAGACTAATCTTAGCCAAAAATGAAGTGTGTTCAATTTGCATGTGTTCCAATGCACAAAAATAGAGAAATATATGTCCTAGTACTTCTAGACTAGACAAATGTCCATTTTAAGTTGCACTAACAAAAAAAACAAACATGCACAAAGTCTTTGTTCTAGGACCTAGAGGTTGCAGGGTCTAAATCTTTGAAATAGGCACCAATTGCACATGGATAAGACTGTTTATGTCTATCGTCCTTTGACCTTACTTAGGGAGAGCCTCATGCAATTGGTCATTTTTTTATAATGAATTATGTATGTAGGAGTGTTAAGCATATATGCAGAAAGATGCGACATTTGCATTACCATAGGAAATTTTGTTACCCAAAGCATAATATAAGTTGGAGATACCAATTTCTAGTTCATTTATAAAAGCAGAAAACCATGGAATTCAAAAGTAACCACAGTGCTGTACACCTTTAATTTACTATCAACCCTGTGCTGTACAAGCTCAGCTAGTTACTATTCTCAAAGCTACTGAACCTGCAACTCCCAACTTTTTCAGTCCCAAAATGTTCCAAGAATTCTTATTCTCCAAAAATTGACACTGAAATTAAATACAAGTGTAAGAGAAGTTAAGTAAGAAAAACAATTTTCAATATGGGTAAACAAATTGACATGATCTCCGAGGGGTGAATTTCCTTGGGCGCTTTCTGAAATTCACAACTTCAACACACTCATATGGCTCAGCAACAGAGATAGATGATTCAGTTTCTGAGTTTTGGTTATCAATTTGGTTAGCATTCTCAGCAATTCCTTCAATTGGAAAGCCTTGATTTTGTGGCTCCACTGAGATCTAACAATGCACATCATAAGATTTAAATCACAAATTAATGATTGAGTATTAAGTAAGCAGTGAACTTCACATTAAATTTAAGTATGCTGTTACCTTGCATGTAATGGAGCAGAATTTATTGCGCTCATCTTGTAAATGCTTTCCACATTCTTCACAAGTACCACCCCACTTTGGATTTGTTGATACTTTGGCTTCTTTCGCCTCTTTGGCTTGAGGCTCTGGACTTGGACTCTCAAATTTAGATTTTTTTGTTAGCTTCATGTCTTTGGATGAAGTCCGGGGTTTGAGATGCACAATCTTATCATTGTTGGATATATAAGTCTGCCAAATCAATCCCCATTGTAAGAAGAATATTCTGATCATCAATCATTCATCAACAAGAAACATAAATTCAGAGCTTAAAACTAAAACTAAGAGGTCACTTCAGGTTCTATGAATCAGATAAACCAATCAAGCCATGAGTCTCAGAAAGGAAAATTCATGGTAACACACTTCACTCGATGATTAGAACCCTTTTGTAAAATTCACAGCTTTTCTGGAATCTAAACTAAACCCTTTTGTAAAATCTTTAGATATTGCAAATCGATGGAGGCTATGATCAATAATTTAAACTACATAAAAGTTCCATACACTCATCAATTGTTAACATTTATCAAGCAAAACAAATCATCACTAGTATAGATGCAATGAATGATATTACAACCAAGAAAGATAATTAATTTTAAACAAGAATAAATCAAATCAAAACAAAAGAAAGAACCTGAATATTTGAGCAATCAAAATACTTGTGCAGCTCAGAGTGGCGCACAACATCCTGATAGGAGTATTTGTATATCTGAATCCTCCGATGGAGGGAATGAGATTCCTTGCAGTGCCTACACAAGCTAGCTGCGCAGTCTATGCAGAACACATTCTTGTCACTAAATCTAATGTCTTTGTGATTTTCACAACATCCAAAGTTGCTACTCAAAAGGGCATCAAGCCAATTTCTCTTCCTTTCCTTTGGTAAGCGATTCTGCCCCATCTGCAAAATTATTTAAAAAAACAAACTTGTAAAATTGAAGTTACTAAAACATGAGCTCAGTTCTCTGACCAATTATCAATTCCCCATTTTCCTCATCAATATTCAACAAAGAGTTACAATTCACAACCCCAATTGCAACCAAAATTCCAATATTCAAGATGTGGTGAAAAATCAACCGAACAAATGAATGAAATTTACAATCTTGACATTCCATATGTTAACTGGCAGCAATTTTGCATGTGGAACGCTAATTTGAACCCATGGTGATTGAGAATTACTACAGGGATCAAAATTGGGATAGTTTAATGGTTAATAAACTATGTTTGAAGAATCACATGCACCAAGAACGCAGTGAAAATTTGGGAATGCAGAGAAGGGTATGAATCAATAACCTTGAAATTGCAATCACATTTTCGCAAGAATAAAAAAGAAAAGGCAAAATGAATGAAAACCCATGAAAATTCAGATTCCAAGAACAAGAATTATATGTACTAACCATGTCACTTCCTTCTCTCTAGAAAGATATTGAAAGGGAGAGAAGATAAATGTTAAGGAAACAGAGACTGGTGTAGCTCTTAGAAGTAGACCAAAATATGCAATATAGTGCAATCTCAGTAACAGAAAGAGGGTATAAAAAAAGGGTATTTATTAAAAAAAAAGTAAAAATGGAAACGAATATTTTCAAATTCAAAGATTAATGTTTATGATTATAGACAACTTCACAGGATTTTTCAATTGGATGGCACGTGGGACCCAAAATCCCAAAATTACTAAAACGCGGCGCTCCCACGCTGCCCCCACACACATTTCTGCTCCGAATCTTTGATATATATATATCACATCGGCAAATTATTTGATTGAAAAGAAAAACAAAATAATTACTCGTTATTGATTGGCCACCCCATAAATTTATAATCTGTAAGATTTATTATGTGAATATCACACGGCAAATTGTGATTATGATTGTGCGTCTTTTTTAATTTTTTTCACTGTATTTTTTAAGCATTAAAATTAATTTATCATTGTAAAATAATATAATAATCTTATCATTAAATTAAATTCATATTCTAATTTTCTGTCAATCATTTCGGTAGACGACAATTCCAAAGTCAATTTATCAAATTCCAAGGTCAATTTGGGTCAACCTAAATTTCAAGTAGTGGGATATTTTTTTATCACAATTTTAAAAATTATTTATTAAAATAAATTATTTAAAATAACTTATTAAAATAAGTAAATTCAACAAAATAAAAAATGTTATAAAAAATAGGGTCACACGACATGTGTCATAACTGACTATGTAGCTCATATTTGAACAGTGTAGACACGTTATACTTATTATATTGCATTCTACTGAATATCTCCTATATTTTTACTCAACAATTGTTTTTTACTTTTAAAATTTTACATTTTAATAATTAAAATTTAAATAATAATATTATCTTAATAAATAATTTTAGAATTGTATTCACAGTAAAGTATTAGCTATTAATAATTTTTTGCAGGAATTATTCCAGTTCCTTCGTTTTATTGATTTTTATTTCTTCTGTTCGTCTTCTTCTTGTCTTCCCCCAAAAGGCACTACGACCCACTAAGCTTTTAACTATTTATTATTCGGTAATTTAGTTTATGTTTTTAAACATTTATAATATAATTGACAGAAAAATGGTTGACAGCCTATCTTGGTTACAGGTTATTATTGGTTTGGCTTCTCTTTTATATGGCAGCTGAAACCCATATTTTTAACGTGCTCTTTTATTGAGTATTTAATATTTTGAATATTCAATTTTGTCTCGTCTAAATTTTTTTACTTAATTAAATTTAAATTTAAAATAATTAATTTAACTAATATAAATACAAGCAACTTTTTAAACTAAAATAAATACACCTAAAAATAATACAAACAATTTTTTTTCAACATAAGTTCAAGAAATAAAATATTTTTTCCTAAACTAAAAGATTAAAACAATTTAATAGAGAACAATTATATTTATCTTGATAAATTAGTTATTAAAAAAAATAATTTTTTTATTTACTATAGCAAATTCTCTTTATTTAACCATTTTATATAGGGTTTAGTTTTGGGGCTGGGCAATAGAACTTCAACTCAATAAGTAAGACCATTAATTTGTACAGGCAACGTGACATATTGCCCATGACTTTTGTCTTTTGTGAAATAACATACATATTTTGCTGAACTTCTACAGTGTTTAACAAAAACCTTATCATCTTTTTTTTTTTTCTTCTTTGGATGTATTTACCTGACTAGAGAAGAAGAAGAAGTTATAATATTACTACCAATTACTAATATTCTTTGAATATATCTCTTTATGTATATATAAAATGTGGCTGTGTGTGAGAATGATGCGTAATCATTTGCTATTATATTATCGATTATGTATTTCTCACTAAAAACTAATGTCATATGTGTAAACTCTCAAATTGGTCTTATGGCTACAAGAAAGGACACACCCCGTCAAACACCTTTTGCATGGGAAAAAAAAGAAGACTTACCAATGTTATTGAAATATCTTCCATGTTCTTTCCTTTAATTTTAAATTTATTATGAAAACCATTTTTTTTCCTCATTTTATGATGGAGGGATTTATGAAATATAACTATTGGTGTGCAATGTAGAGAGTAACAGTCTAACAGAGATTCAGTGTTATAGACGCTATTCTATTGAATTGAAAATTTAGTTTTAATTTATAACTAACGGCACTGAGTTGTATCTTGATGTTTTCTTTCTAGAAAAAGAACGTTTATTGTTTGTTGTATGAGATGGAATCTATAACATTCTAGAAAAAAATTATTTAGAGTTTTTCAATGTCTACGACGACTATGCTTTCTAAATTCTTCCAAATCAATTTCTCAATTTGATTGCTTTGAGTATTTGTGTATCAAATATTTCTAAATTTTGGAAGTGAGAGATTTAATAAAAGCAGGAAAGGTCAGAGCTTTTACATAATTATTCTTTTTACAAATAAATGTTTTAGACACATATATGTCAATTATAGACGGAATTCCTCCAAAAAGTTTTGGAAGTGATAGAGACAAAATTATCCCATATAGCAAAACTTGAAGTCACTAAAAGTATTGCGTTGGAAGTTAGTTTCATGTTGATTGCGTCATGTATCATCAATGGAGTTAATTAAGGTGAAGAATTGTTGTAGAAATTGTTTGTGTCACGACTCTTTTTAATGACATCCTATAATATTGTTCTTAATTTAATATTCACTTATGGGATAATGCATACATAGAATAGATAATATAATTTTTTTTTTAAAATTTGGTCTTTAACCTCATAATCAATAGAATAACTAGCTCCGATGACATTTTCATATAATTCAAAAATTTACATAAGTGCGTATATATTTACAACAAATATTCTGTGAGGAGTTTAAAATACAAGTTTTTGAATAATAATTATATAATTAAAAACTGTAACTAAATAATCTAGACTCACTACTACCATATAGACTAACAAAATAAGTAAAACTACAATCTCTACAGAGCACTTGACTCCAAGCCTTCCTCAGTCAGACCTTCTAGCATGAGAAGTAGCTACAGTACCTGTCACATTTGCTCACATATCATAGTACGATCATTACAAGGCGCACACACACCCCAACATAGACAGAATGACAAGAGTGAGCTTACGAATTAATAATCACAACTACAGAAGTAAAATGTAGATATAATCATTCATACAACTCATTATCTCAACATTTCCAGCACTCAACACAACAATGCAACTCATCCTAATGCAAGATGCAATCACTCAGTTCCAACTAATTTTACAGCTTTACTAATCTAGAAGGAACTTACAATTCTCCGGTTTGAGAGTGACCTATCTCGGTATCTGGATCCAGATATATAGTGTAACGTCCCGAATTTTGTAATATAGTTGATTATTAATATAAGTATTTGCATTGACTTTTTTGTGTAGTGTATTTATAATTGTAGATGATTGGATAATTGGGATTGGACTGAATTTTTGGCTAAGTATTCTCGCTACAGCGAGACATCTGTCGCTGTAGCGAGAGGGCCCTTAGAGGAAGGCGTGAAATTGTCGCCTTGTCGCTGTAGCGAGAGTGTCTAGCTGTAGCGACAAAGCCACAATTTGGGGTGCATTTTTGGGTGCAGTCTCGCTGTAGCGAGAACGTCTTGTTGTAGCGAGAAGGTCTCATTATAGCGAGATTCTGCAGAAATCAGGGTGCAATTTCGTTTGAGATTTTCGCTGTAGCGACAAGAGGTTTAGGGATTTCGATTTTCTCAATCCAAAACCCTACTCTACTAATTAAATTGCCTCTAAAGTCGTTCGAAAGCTAGATTGAAGGTTGAATCCGTGTAGGGAACGCTTGGAGGTGAGTTTTAATTGTTAGGATTTTCATTTTTCATCCCTTTTCTTTGTTTATTAGTTTCCTTGGATTCTCATGGAGTTCTTCCATGCATTTAGGCTGAAATTCGTGTAGAGAGCACTTCCGTGGTTGAATTCGAGTGTGGATCTTCAATCTAAGGTAAGGGAGAACTCTACCCTATCTCAATATGTGTGATTAGCCGTTTATTTCGTTGAATATTGTGATGTGGCTGAGTTAGAAGGTAGGAAATATGTGTTAATGGGAATGGTTGTGAAATATGATGTGGGCCATGTGCCGTGAGATGTGAATATTATGTTCATGGATGAAAGAATATGTGTTTACTCGAAACTGATAAATGTGAATTACATAATAAATGTCGTGTAATAGAATGAGGGTATATATGCCGAGTATTATGAATGGGTATGGGCACTTGTGCCGTATATTTGAATGAATATTGTGAACAAGTGTGGGCTCAAGGGCTGTATAATATGAATGAATATAGGTTTTGTACCGTGTACTGTAAAACGAATGAGGGCCTAGTACCGTGTATTATGCATGACTGTGGGCTTTATGCTGTATAGTGAGAATGAATATTGTAATGTGTGTGAATGAGGTGTGATTAACGCTGGTGTAACGTGCTGTGAATGGTTCAGCGATACACTGGGGGTATGGAAGATGAGGACGGTAGAAATACCTTGGGGAAGAGGGAGTGGTGGTGACACCGACAGTGGGAGCGGGTACACCCTGGGCCACACTCTCTCTTCCTGACTAGACCTCTGACCACTACCTTTGATGAGCGACTCGTGACTGCCGACATGGTATCCATGAGGCGAGGGTAACCTTCGACCATCCATAGTGAAAATTTGTGATCACAGTGCCACTGTGAGCGTGGCTGGCGTGCAGTGAGCGCACAGGATTATTGTTTGTTAATTTTGTGTGTGTAAACTGTTTGATGTCGTGAGTGCATCGGTGTTTGAATGAAATTGAATGGAGTAGTATTGTTGCCTGTGAATATATTTTATGAATTGTGTTAGAAATGATGTAAAATAGGTGCAAGGTGAGACTCTATGTTTGTTTGTGTAACGAGTAGTGTAGAATACTCAACCTTACATTCATTTATCAGGTAATCAAGACGATAGCATCGGTCTCAGTGAAGGACTAGATGGAACTGCTATAGGACTTAAAATATTATTTTGAAACTGTTGTACTTGAATAGGTCCTGTAGTAGTTATTTGATATGAAGTTGTAACCCTTTCCATAATTTAGAACATTTAATGAGGATTTTATTCAAATGAAAAAGTTTATTCTCCCTATTTTGTGAAATCTATTGTTATTTTGGAAAGTAAAAATTTAGGTGTTATAATTTTGGTATCAGAGTAGTTCATCCAAATCGGACTAGGGTATCGGATTGAAGTGTCCAAGCTAAGTGTTGATTGTTTTGCTTGCCTGAATTATAAATGTATAAATTGATCTAATGTGTTGGAATGTGGTTTGCTGAATTATGATTAGCTTAGATTAAACATAGCTGGTAGAGGTAGAGGTACTAGAGGCACCAATGATCCCATGGAGTGCATAGCTCAAATGCTGGAGGCCTTGGTGCACAATCAAGGCAGAGAGCCAGCTAAGTACCGAGAGTTGTCTACCTTTACTAGGCACGATCCCCCAAAGTTTGAAGGAGGGTTTAATCCTGAGGGAGCCTAGAGGTGGGTGGCAGATGTAGAGAAGGTCTTCAATGCAATGGGGTGCCGTGAGGAGCACAAGGTTGCATATGCCACTTACTTGCTATGTGGAGAAGCGGAAGACTAGTGGAGGTTTGTCGGTCAGACATTGCCACAAGAGGGTGGCTGAATCCAGTGGGAGACCTTCAAAGCGATTTTTCTAGGGAATTACTTTCCCCGGGATCTAAAAACGCAGAAAGCTAGAGAGTTCCTTGAGCGAAACAAAGATGTATGACCGTGGGGGAGTATGCAACTATGTTCCAAGAGTTAATGAAGTACTGGCCTCACTATCAGCATGGGGATGGAGAGGAAGATCTATGTGCTCAATTTGAGCATAGATTGAGGCCAGACATCCAATCTGCGACCAGTGTGTTCCAACTGACGGACTTGCCCACTTTGGTAAGCAAGAGCAAAATCTTCGAAGCCCAGCAAGACAAGATAGGAGACCCCCTAGATTTTCCAAGGGGCCATATTCAGGCTCGAGCAATTCACAGTCAAGAGGAAGTTTGTCTCTAGAGAAGAGCAGTGGGAGTGGCTCAGGATCAGGTTCTTTTAGAGGATCGATCAAATGTTTCAGGTGTGGCGGGCCACACATGGTGAAGGACTACCCACAGCCGCGAATTACATGCAGTAACTATGGGAAGTCAGGGCACACTGCTAATGTGTGCTGGGCCGCCAAGAGGGGTGGCAGTACTAGCATTGCACAGAAGCCTGAATCAAGGGGGAGCATGGGGCTAAGTACGGGGCAGAAGCTGTTCATTCCTGGTAGGGTCTTTGCTATAAGTGGGGCAGAGACTTCACAGTTAGAGGAGCTGATATGAGATAAATGTGTAATTAAAGGCCGATTGCTTGATGTGTTGTTTGACTTAGGTGCTAGGCACTCTTTTGTGTCTGTGGACTGTGTAAAGAGTTTGAATCTGTATATAATTGAACTATCGTGTAATGTTGTGGTGACTACCCCTACGGGTAAGCCGGTTGTGACATCATGGGTATGTCTGGGGTGTTCGATAATGGTACATGGTAGGGAGTTTGAGGTAGACTTGATCTGTTTACCTCTTTCTCAATTGGATATAATTCTGGGGATGGATTGGCTTGCTGCCAACCATATGCTGCTGGACTGTAGTGAGAAGACTTTATCTTCGGTACGACACTGACAAAGGTTCTGCAGCTTATGAGCCAAGGTGCGTGGGAGAACACGGTAAACGCCAAGGCCTTTATGGTTATGTTCTCAATGGAGGCCGAAAGCGTCGTGGAGTCGGAGTATATTCCGGTGGTGAGAGATTTCTTAGAAGTTTTTCCCGAAGATGTTTCTAAGTTACCACCTGAGAGAGAAATATAGTTTGCTATTGACCTCATTTTGGGGGCAAGCCTAATTTTCGTGGCACCTTTTAGGATGTCACAGGTGGAGTTGGTGGAGGTCAAGAAGCAAGTAGAGGATCTATTACAGAAACGGTTTGTAAGACTGAGGGTGTCGTAGTGGGGAGCTGTTGTTACAATTCTAAACACTAGCAAGTGCACTAGGAATTGCAGCAAGTAATGAGTAAAATTAAGATCCAAGTATCGTCTCCACAGGGAATTAGGAATTCAATTACCACTTCACAGAACAATAACTATTTGAGTCATATGAATTTGGAAGAGTAGTAACATGTACAAGCAATAAACTAGAACAATACAAAGAATTAAACTTGCAGCAAAACAGAGAATGAAAGTTGTATTGAGATGAGATATGAATGAAGGATAGTTAGGAATTTACTTCACAAGAATATCAATATTGATTCAATTATACTTTTGAATATTCAAGCAATTGGTTAATTGACAATCAAGTTCACATATAACTAGTCAAAGGTTAATCTCTTAACTCATTGACCCTAACAATCCACTAAACCCCCTAATCCCTTAGGTGAAGTTCAATTTCATGTTGCATTAAGACTTTGAACTGTAAGATTACAGAATTAAGTGTACTTATCCCTAAGAAACCCCTAATTTTGGTTGTTAATTCAGATTAGAGAATCAAATCCAATTCCCATTGGCAAATGTTCCTCTTTGGTTAATCAAGTGAATTCCCATTCAAAGATTACGTAAAGTGAAAAATTGACAACTCAATTAATCCAAAAACTCAAATTTCAGAAGCAAGAATCAAATTAATACATCAATTCGAGGTCCATAAACTCCTAACTACAAAGAATTACGCAGACATTGGGACAGAGAAAGAGAAAGAAGGAGAAGAAGAGAAGAATTGCAGAGAAGCCATCTCCACGAACTCAATCCAATGCCTCTTCTTGGAGCTCTGAAATTTGACCCCAATCCTCTCTCTTACTCTCTCTCAACGAGAATCTAAAAGAAAAAATGGAAGCTGATAAGAGTGGCCACGTAGAAGCTCATGTGGTTTCTGGAAACTGGAACTATCACTTTCACTGCTAAGAGTTGCAACGCAGAAGGTCGAGATGTTGTGCGTAATCACTTTTATGAGTAAAAGTGGTCACGCACAACTTGTCAAGTTTGAGGACTCTCTGGAACATCCACTTTCAATGATAAAAGTGGTTACGCAGAATACTCTGAAATTTTGCCTTCTCTGAAATGCTCACTTTCGCTGATAAAAGTGGTTATGCAGAACCTGCTGAGTCTGAGGCTTCTCTGGAGCACTCACTTTTGCTAGTAGAAGTGGTTACGCCTAGACTTTCCTTCTTCCTTGAGCTCTGGAGTGATCACTTTCATTGACAATAGTGATCACGCCCAGCTTGCATTCCATTTTTCTTGTGTTTTGGAGTCCATAACTGCTATTTTTCCTTTTCCTTTCCATTGATATTCCATTTCCATGAACCTTGCTCAGATTATTCCTACAAAAACAAGCATAAATTTCACAAATGTTAAGCTGACTACATAATAAAAGAAAACCTTCAATCATTCTATTTTTCTAGTTTTTCTGCTATTTCTTACATGTTTTTCTTATCAAATGGGTTAGAATTACACTAAAATATGAGTCAAAATATGGATTCATTAGGAGCACCAGTGCTCTTGGTGAAGAAGAAGGATGGGAGTATGAGGATGTGTGTGGATTACCGGCAGCTGAACAAGGTGACGGTTAAGAACAAGTATCCGCTTCCGAGGATTGACAATTTGATGGACCAGTTGAGAGGAGTTGTAGTGTTTTCTAAGATTGACCTGAGGTCGGGGTACCATCAGATCAGAGTAAAGGATGCAGATGTATCTAAGACGGTGTTTAGGATGCGGTATGGTCACTATGAGTACTTGGTGATGCCATTTGGAGTGACCAACGCGCCCGCGGTGTTCATGGACTACATGAACAGGATCTTCCATGAGTTTTTGGATAAGTTTGTGGTGGTGTTCATCAATGACATCCTGATCTATTCGAAGACTTAGGAAGAGCATGCCGAGCACTTGAGGATTGTTCTGTAAATTTTGAGGGAGAGGCAACTGTATGCAAAATTCTCCAAATGTGAGTTCTGGCCGTCAGAGATTCAGTTTCTGGGACATGTAGTGTCGAAGGAAGGAATCATGGTAGACCCTGCAAAAGTGGAAGCAGTGGCTAAGTGGCTGAGACCGACAAATGTGACTGAGGTCCGCAGTTTTCTAGGACTAGCAGGCTATTACCGGAAGTTCATTGAAGGATTTTATAAGATAGCTTTGCCCTTAACGAAGCTGACCCGTAAAGGAAGGGAGTTTAAGTGGACCAAAGGGTGTGAAGCTAGTTTCCTGGAGCTAAAAATAAGGTTGACTTCGGCACCGGTGTTAGCTCTACCTGATCTGAAGTGACAGTTTGACGTGTATTGTGATGCATCCAGGCATGGATTGGGGTGTGTTTTGATGCAAGACGGGCGAGTGGTTGCCTATGTCTCAAGACAATTACGCCCGCATGAAGTCAACTATCCAACAAATGATCTGGAGTTAGCTGCGGTGGTTTTTGCTCTTAAGGTATGGAGACACTACTTGTATGGAGCGAGGTTTGAAGTGTTCAATGACCAGAAGAGTTTGAAGTATCTGTTTGATCAAAAGGAGCTGAACATGCGGCAGAGGAGATGGATGGAGTTTCTTAAGGACTACGACTTCACATTGTCTTACCATCCTGGCAAGGCAAATGTGGTAGCAGATGCACTTAGCCAGAAATCATTGCATGTGGCAGCAATGATGGTGAAGGAAATGGAGTTGATTGAGGAATTCAGAGACATGAATTTGGCCATGGAGGTGAGGTCGGGGAGTTTGTATCTCAGAGCGACTATGATTTACAATGACTTCTTGATGTATGTCCGAGATGCTCAATAGGGAAATGCCTTCCTGCAAGACATGATGAGACAGAAAGGTGAGGGAAAGAAATTGGAGTTCCACTGTGATGAGAATGGGGTAATTAAGTTTCGAAACCGGGTGTGCATTCCCCAAGTGGATGAGTTGAGGCGGATGGTGCTTGAGGAAGCACATAAGAGCAGAATGAGTTTTCACCCCAGTGCAACCAAAATGTATCAAAACCTCTGAAAGAGTTTTTGGTGGAATGGAATGAAGAGGGATGTGGCTGAATATGTGGCTAGATGTTTAACCTGCTAGAAGGCAAAGGTAGCGTCCACCTAGGTTGTTACAGCCGCTAGAGATCCCTGAGTGGAAATGTGATAGTATTTCTATGGACTTTGTTTCTGGGTTGCTAAGGACCAGGAACAACCATGACGCCATCTGGGTGATAGTAGATTGGTTAACTAAGGCTACACACTTTCTCCCGATCAACATGAAATATAAATTGGAGAGATTTGCGAAACTGTATGTGAGGGAGATAGTCAAGCTGCATGGAGTGCCGACCAGTGTGGTGTTAGATAGAGATCCAAGGTTTACCTTGAGGTTTTACGAGAGCCTGCAACAGGCATTAGGGACTAAGCTGAGACTGAGCTCGGCTTATCACCCACAGACTAACAGTCAGACCGAGCGAACTATCCAGTCCTTGGAGGACTTATTGAGGGCTTGTGTGCTCGAACAACAGGGGACTTGGGAGGAATGCTTGTCATTGGTAGAGTTCACTTACAACAACAACTATCATGCTAGTATTGGGATGACACCATTTGAGGCCTTATCTGGGCGGAGGTGTAAGACTCCTCTGTGTTGGTATGAGGATGGAGCGGCGACTCTGTGTGCACCGAATATGATTCAAAAGCAAAACGAACATATCAAAATGATCAGAAAGAAAATGAAGGCTGCCCAAGATCGACAGAAGAGTTATTATGACAAAAAGAAGGAAGCCTTTGAAATTCCAGGTGGGTGACCATATGTTTCTGAAGGTCTCACCTGTGACTGGAGTTGGGAGGGCTCTAAAATCTCAGAAGCTATCTCCTAAGTTCATTGGGCTATTCAAAGTGTTGAGTAGAATTGGTTCTGCTGCATAGCAGATAGCGTTGCCTCCTAACCTCTTGAACCTACATCCGGTATTCCATGTGTCACAACTCAGGCAATATGTGTCAGATCCTTCTCATGTGATCGATCTTGACCTGGTTCAAGTAAGAGAAGACTTATCTTATGAGGCGTATCCGGTAAGGATAGCTGATCACTGCGTGAAACAATTGAGGGGTAAGGAGATCTCATTGGTAAAGGTGATATGGAGCTCAAGTGATAAGGGAGATGCCACATGGAAAACGGAGAGTAGAATGAGAGAGTTGTACTCAAAATTGTTTGTGTGATCTTTGTATGTTGGTTTGAATTTCGAGGACGAAATTCCCTAAAGGAGGGGAGAGTTGTAACATCCCGAATTTTGTAATATAGTTGATTATTAATATAAGTATTTGCGTTGACTTTTATGTGTAGTGTATTTATAATTGTAGATGATTGG